AACCACCATTAGCCATCATCGCCGACGATTGCTGCTGTTGTAGTTGTTGTTGTGGATGATGATGGTAATTGGTGGTGGTACCAGCCGTGTATGATGTTGTCATAGCGGAAGTATCATGTATAGCCTCAACTGCTTGACCTGCAGCAGCATCAACACCACCACCACCGGCCAAAATACCGGGAGTGCTCATATTAGATCTTTGGTGCTTAGGAGATGATGGTGCACTGCCCACCGAATTCCGAGCCTAAAATAACAGTAACATTTAATATAAACAAAAAATTATGTATTTTTATACCAGTATCTCTTACCTTACGCTCCGCCTCTGAACCCATTAGTCTTTCAATCAAAGACTTAGGGAAAGTTTCATCTAAAATATTGCCCGTCGATGAAGAGTGCACGTAACGGGCATGATGAGAAGGAGAGGGTGTACTCGAACCAGCGGGACTTGCTAATAATGAGGGTGATATTAAAACAAGTGGAACATTGCGAAAATGTTCAGACGGTATGCGCATCTAAAGGAAGAATTAACACACTTTAATCACAATTATATTTTTACACTCATTTCTCTTTTACCTTGGTATAACATTTGGAACATACGGTACGTTGACATATTTTACATTGTATACCCCAGGGACCAAATATCGAGAACCTTGTACGCAGGCATAAAAAACAAATTTTACGCTTTTCAACATCCTCCTTGACACGTATACCCACGGGAAGACCTTCCAGTTCGGCTTTTGTCATAACCGAACGAATGTGTACAATCTCTTCCAGCGTGAGAGAAAGACGATCATCACCACGTTCGTTCCAGGTCTTCTCATCCATAAAGGATTTGTTCCACGGGCCAAGTGAGGACGAAGAATTGCTCATCTTGTTAATATCCTCATTATTAGGACTTTGAGAACGTTTTAGTTGTTGTTGCTGCTGCTGCTGATGTTCTTGCTGTTGGTTGTAATTATTGTGTAGCTAAAAAAGGAAATTGACTTTTTAATGAAATCTCATTTAAAGAAATAGAAAATATCTACCAACCTGTTTGGCTGTGCTCACATTATCACCGCCAACATTCTCATGCACATCCGATTGCCGTGAATCCGGTCGTGAGGGTGGCATTGAATGTGTTTCATCGAAATTACTTTGACAGCCGACAATGGTATGACGTCGTGCCGACACCCGTCTAGACTCGCATTGTGTGGCCAAATCATAAGCTAAAGAAATTTTGTAATATTTTCAATTTAATAAGAGTTGTAAATGAAGAAAAACTATTATTTATTGTGGTGTATTTATGCTTAAAATGTATGGACCAGTGAAAGTAATATAAATGTATAACTTTTTTAATGGCATTTCAGAAAATTATTATAAATTGAAAGGTTTTAAAAGGTTTGGACTTTATAGAAGACTATAGTTTTGACTTTAGACAATACTATAGGCAAGTTTATAGTATGTACTATATGTACTATATATAGTGTGGACTATACTATAAGTATGGAAAGATAAGATAGAAAAGACTATAGCCTGGTCTAAAGACAATATTATAGTATAGATTATAGACAAGACCATAGTCTGGACTATAGACAAGGCCATAGTCTGGACTATAGACAAGACCATAGTCTAGACTATAAACATGATTATAGACAAGACTATAGTCTGGATTATAGAAAAGAATATATTCTGGACTGGAGCCAAGACTATAGTATGTATTGTAGACAACACCATAGTTAGTAATATAGACAAGTCTGGACTATAAATAAGACTTTAGTCTTGATTATAGACAAGACTATAGTCTGGATTATAGAAAATAATATATTCTGACCTGGACTGTAGACAACAACATAGTTGAAAATATAGACAGGTTATAATCAGTACTATTGAACTATAACCAAGACTATAATCTGTACTATAGACAAGTTTTTTTATCTGGTCCTCAGAAAGGTCTATAGTCCGAAATGTTGACAAATTGTAGTCTGAACTATAGACAAGACTATAGTCTATGACAAGACTATGAGTGTAGTCGGGATTATAGATAAAACTATAGTTTGGAGTATAGACAATACTATAGCCCCAATAATTGATAAGACTATAGTCTGAACTATAAAAAAGACTATTGTCTGGATTATTACAAAAACCATGGTGTGTACTCTTAACGAGACTACTGTCTGGCCTATAGACAAAACTATAATCTGTACTAGACGAGACTATGAACTGGACTAAAGTCAGGACTATATACAAGTCTATAGTCCGGTCTACAGACAAGAGTATAGTCTGGGCTATAGACTATAGTGTGGTTTACAGATAACAATAATGTTTAGAATATTGATGAGACCTTAGCTTGGACTAAAGAATAGACTGTAGGCAAGACTATATTCTGGACTATAGACAAGACTGTAGAGAAAATAATGACAATATTGTAGTCGGTACTATAGGCAATACTATAGTCTACCCTGTAGACAAGACTATTGGCGGGACTATAGAGATAACTATATTCTGAACTATATGCAAAATTATAGTCTAAACTATGGAGAAGACTCTACTCTATTGCGGGGGTCTTCATATTGTAGCGCAATGTTTTGAAATGTAAGAAGAATTTTCTAAAATGCCACTTATTTTTCCCAAACTATATTTGTATTAATTAAAATTTTATGTCTTAAAAGGAATTAGTATTAATTAATCATGCAAATAAAAATATGTGAAACATGTAAGGTAAATAAAATGTATGAATATTTGTTTAACATAAATTACAAACAAAGCCAATGAAGAAATGTATGTGTAATAATGATGATTAAGCTTCTAAGCAAAATTAAACAAAAATAAAAAAAAGCGTTAAATGTAAATGATACGAAATGGCAAAAGAATGTAAAACAAAAAAATAACGGAATACAATAAAACTAAAGGAAATTTTCCATTTGACAGACAGCCACACATACACACCCATAACCATCCTTAAAAGGAAAGAAATTTTTTTTATATACAATGTGCGGGTTACAGAAAAGTAGTGTTAGGAGAAGAAGGATAAAAAAAAACCCAGAATGTTGTTGTTAGTGTTTGTAGTTGTTGTGAAAATGTTTGTTGCTATTGCAGTGTTGTTTTGAAAATGAAAGTTTTAAATAAAAGGCAATAGATTCATATTGTCAGACTATAAACAGGAGACAGAGAGAGAGATTGACACATACACATGGGACAGACAACAAACAACAACATATTAGAAGAAGATGTGTTTGTTTATGTTGTTGTCTAGTATTTTACGAAAATGTTTTTGTTTTTTTCATTGTTTACATTCTCATCTATAAATGACTCTGACTGATTGAATGGATTTTACATGTACATATGTATAATATTAATTTTTAAACATTTTTTTACAAAAATAAGAGAAATTGTGTAAAATACATTTCTTTGTTTGGCATATTTACATTCTAAGGCGTTGTCAAAGAATTTATGATATTCATCCTGGCTATAGGGATCCTCTGTGTAATTTTCATCGCACGTAGTAGTTGCAGTAAATAGGAGTATGTAGTAGACACATAGTAGTAGTGACAGTAGTAGTAGTAGGTAGTAGTGGAGTAGTTGAGGTAATTAATTTGGAAGGACCAATATTTTTGCGTTATTTGACATTTACGTTTACGTTTTGTTGTAGCAAATTGTTGATATTTTTGTTTATTAAGTAGATTTAGTTAATTGTAAAACCAAAACAACTACTTTAATTTCTCAGTATGTACAAAAGTTTTTAAAAAGTTATTTTAAACAATAATTTTCCAAAATCATGCTTTAAAAAAAGGACCCTTTTTGTTTTTTGTTAAATTTGAACTTTTAACCAATTTTTAGTTGCTTTTTTATAGCTTTAAATCAACGACTAGTTTATTATTATATTTTTTTTTGTTCATTAAGCTTTTTATTGTTTTTTTTTTTAATAAATATATATTTTCTTAGGTTAGGAAAACTACTTATTTTTACAACTATCAACCAAGCAAAAAACCCACATTACAAATTAAATGCCTTTAAAAAGAAATTAAAAAATAAACAAAACAAAATAAAAACAAAACGGAATTAATAAAACGAAAGAAAAAACTATAATTTAATTAAATTGAATAAAATTATAATACATATTTCCAAAATAAAGTAAATTAAATTACTTGTGATAAAACAATAACAAATTGTACAGTGGCAAACAAAACATATTCAAAGTGAATCACTGGGAGAGGTTGAAAATGAGGAATTTAGTATGATTCATATTTAGAAAAATATTACTCATACCGCCTGTGTTCCAAAAATAGCCGAATTTCTAGCATTCCTATCAGGTTTGTGAAAGGTATGAGTAATTTTTAACTTAAGGTTAATATCAATTTTTATTTATAAAGAAAATGGACAAGACTATTGACAAACTATTGCCCGGACTAAGGATAGAACTATGGCCAAGACTATAGTCGGTACTACAGACAACAATACAGTCTGGATTATAGACAACACTATAGTCTGGACTATAGACAACACTATAGTCTGGACTATGGGCAACACAATAGTCTGGACTATAGACAACACTATAGTCTGGACTATAGACAACACTATAGTCTAGACTATAGAAAACACTATAGTCTAGACTATAGACAACACTATAGTCTGGAATATAGACAACACTTTAGTCAGTGCTATAGACAGCACTATAGTCTGGGCTACATACAAGACTATAGTCTGGATTATAGACAACACTATAGTCTGGACTATAGGCAACACAATAGTCTGGACTATAGACAACACTATAGTCTGGACTATAGACAACACTATAGTCTGGACTATAGACAACACTATAGTCTGGACTATAGACAACACTAAAGTCTGGACTATAGACAACACAATAGTCTGGACTATAGACAACACTATAGTCTGGGCTATAGACAAGACTATAGAATGGACTATAGACAAGACTATAGAATGGACTATAGACAAGACTTCAGTCTGGACTATAGGCAAGACTATAGTCTGGACTATAGACAAGACTAAAGTCTGGACTTTAGACAAGGTTATAGTCTGAACTATAGACAAGACTATAATCGGGACAGTAGACAAGATTATAGTCTGGACTGTAGACTAGACTATAGTCTGGACTATAGATAAGACTATAGTTAGGACTATAGATAAGACTATAGTCTGGACTATGGACAACACTATAGTCTGGACTATAGACAACACTATAGTCTGGGCTATAGACAATACTATAGAATGGAATATAGACAAGACTATAGTCTGGACTATAGTCTGGACTATAGACAAGACTAAAGTCTGGACTTTAGACAAGATTATAGTCTAAACTATAGACAAGACTATAGTCGGGACAGTAGACAAGAATATAGACAAGATTATAGTCTGGACTGTAGACTAGACTATAGTCTGGACTATAGATAAGACTATAGTTAGGACTATAGATAAGACTATAGTTAGGACTATAGATAAGACTATAGTCTGGACTATGGACAAGACTATAGACAAGACTATGGTCTGGACTATAGACAAGACTATTGTCTGGACTATAGACAAGACTATACTCTGGACTATAGACAAGTCTATAGTCTGGATTATAGGCAAGACTATATCTCTGGAGTAAATATAAGTCTATAGCCTTATTTATAGTCTAGACTGTAATCTGGACTATGGACAATACTATAGTATGGACTATAGATAATTTAGATTAGGTTAGCGAAGCATTGTAACATAATAATGATTTCTGATTTTGCTAACTGTTTCATTTTTGTTTACCACTGTATTTTTCAATAGTAATTCAATTAAATTTGCTTAATGCAACAGCAATTATAGAAATAACGGTTAAATAAATAAAAAATATATAATTACATTTTAATAAATAAAGACAAACTACATAAAAAAGTACGATAAAAGTACAACCAAGTTGAGATAATTATATTAACGAATAAATAAATTGTATAAATAACGGCAAAAAATAATTCAAGAAATACATAATTTATTTATTTTATTAAAATGGCAACACTACTTACTTGTACGACGCGTTACACGTGTCGTTGTGGGTTGTTGTTGTTGTTGATGTTGCTGTTGGTACGTGCTATTTACATTCGCATTATTATTGTTGTTATTGCTACACTTGAGTCCTCTTGAAGCGGCCATGGTGTCGGTCATCATATAGCCACCAATTGGATATGGAGGCATTTTAGGTTGTGAACATACACCTACACCAGCACCACCAACACCACCGAGGTTCGTTGAGACCGATGAAGATGTGGAGGCCAATGAGGTCTCATCGAAACAATTATCATCCTCATCCTAAAAGATGGCAAGAGTAAGAGCAAGGAAAAAGGATAATATTACATAAATAAAGAATGGAGAAGCAGAGGTAAGGTATGGGTAGAAATAAACATTTTAATTTTGTTGTAGCTTTTAAAAGCTACACGTTGTGACGTGATTGCCTTTATAATATTTAAAATATTCATGAGATTTGTGTAAATTTGCTGAGGATTGTAATGTGTGTTTGGATTTCAAATTTAGATGTATTTTCAATATGGTTTGTATTGATTTTATATGTAAATTTTTCTTGTAATGGTTGTCTTTGTTAATTTGTGGAAGTTTTTTATAAAATTACCCAAGGTTTACTTTAACAATAAGAATTTAAATTGTAAATTAGTTTTTTTTTTTTATTTTGTACTTAAATACAAAATCCCTTTTTTTAAAGCTAGTGTAAACGTTTTTTAATTTTTTGTGTTAATAATTCAGTGACGTCAATTTGACGTCTCATTTTGTAAACAATGCCTGTAGGATAATTTTGAAGCCTGTATAAATGAATTCCCCACGCTTTCAGTCTGTTTGTTGTTTGCATTGTATTACAATATCCAGCTGTCAAAGTGGTGAAAATTACATTTAATATTTACCCTTCTGGATATTTAAGTTTTATATTCGATATTTTTGTTTGTTTGTAAACAATGGAGAGACTGTTAATAACATTGCTAGGACACTACAGCTGCAGCAGTAGAGATAATTGTTTTTGTTTTTGCAATTAAAAAATGTTTATTCTTGACATTTTCCATTGAGTTGCATTGTGCATAGAGTTGATTTTGTATTGTAACTACATAATTACAATGAAAGCGACAGGCGATTGGACAGTACAGCAGCAGTAGTAGAGATAATTGTTTTTGTTATTAAAAAGATTTTTTCTTGACATTTTCCATTGAGTTGCATAGATTTGATTTTGAATTGTAACTACATAATTACAATGAAAGCGACAGACGATTGACGATGGGAACTTAATATATCATCAAAATGTATAGAAATTAGAAGAAACGGATTAATCTTTTTCTTTTATTCATAAATTCCAGTAATATAAACTGAAACAGTTCTTACCTTACCCATATTACTTCTTATTCTATGATTATTTATACTTAACACATACATATGTATATTGTCTTGATTTCTTATACAAAATTTAGAATTTGGAATAAATCTTGAATTGGTTTTTGAGAGAAAAAAAGTTCTTGACTAGTACCATCCGTA